ACTTATGTATCATCGGGTGCCATGTGGGTGTGGCCCATTGGGTGGGCATGGCTGCGGTGGTAACAGCAGACTGGATGGGACTAAAAAGTTCAATCAATCAATTCCAACTTTGAGAGATCTTTTTTTTTTTGCCCGCGACAAGTTGAAATTGATTGATTGATTGAACCTTTTTTTTTTTGCACACGGCGGCAGAGGCCTAAAGTGAAAAGGTTTTATAAAACCCATCTGAAGGCCTAGGACTGGGGCGACAGTGCGCGTGCCCACAGAGAGGGCTCTGCGTGCCACCTGTGGCACGTGGCCATAGGTTCGCCACCACGGCCTTATCACTACTGGGAAAATAATTCCCTGCATCTAGTAAAATTACACAAACAGAAGGCAGCATCTCATTTTCAGTCTTGAGATATTCCCAGATATATAGATGGTTGGACATTCTACAATCGTAAGGAGGAGATTTCTTGTGACATGTGGATCTTTAGAGCAAAAAGAAACGGCTGCCTTTGGTTTTCTTCTAAAAAAAAGCAGAACTTATGATTATTTTGTTTAGTGATTACTGTAGTGGTTCCTTCTGATCTGAAGGTTAGGTTTCTCCTATTCTGTTGAGCTTTGAGGGAAGGAGGAAAAGAATGCAATTTTTATGTGATTTCTTTTTCCAATCCCAGTGAGATCCGATGCTCATTTTCTTTGCTCATTGGCACATAAAGAGAAATTATGGTTATCTAGTAAGTGAATCTTTTGTTTTCATTTTTTTTCCACTTCTTCGTTTTATTGAAATTGTTATGGATAACTCTTTTTTCTTTGCAGGATTCAATCTGGGTGGGTCACTGGGACCAGAGCTTTCGTCTTGTGAGCTTTCAGACTTGTGCTGCAGCCCATCCTCAGGGAACTTCTCCCTAACAGAATGTGTGTGCTTTTTTTTCTTTTTCAGGAAGTGCAGAAGCACTCTGTCCACACTCTTGTGTTCAGGTCTTTAAAGAGGACTCACGATATGTTTGTGTCTGACAACGCAAAACCTGTATTATTAGATGAAAGGAGGTAAGAAAGAGAACTAGGCATGAAATGAAAAATAGGTTCTGTTTTGAACCCAGAATAAACACATTGTGCTTTAAAAATTCTGCCAAACGCTTCCGTGTAGGTTGTGTGGTTCAGCAGAATCAAATTCAAAACATTTTGGTGGTTTTAGGTTTCAGCCAAAACAAAATGTGGGATTTTTTATATAATGAATAGGGAAGACTAGTGCAGGGGTAGGCAACCTTGGCTCTTTTATGACTTGTGGACTTCAACTCCCAGAATTCCTGAGCCAGCTTGGCTGGCTCAGGAATACTGAGAGTTGAAGTCCACGAGTCATAAAAGAGCCAAGGTTGCCTACCCCTGCACTAGTGTGTATCTCTTGCATCCTCCATGTGGTTTGTACACTGATCTTCTGAGTACCTTCCTTTCCCTACCTGCCCTACTGCTAGTGACTTCAGATGCAGCATATCTAACTGACTTGGCCTCCCCCATCTATCCAATGCTTCCCCCCTATCTTCCCTTATGCTATACTTGAAGTCAAGGCAATCAGCAGATAGGCAAGGAAAGGAAAGCTGTCTGAAGACTAAGTGGGCTGGCCCTTTGAATATGCTATTTTTGAAACCAAGGATAGTAGCAGCTAGCTCCTCCTGCCCCACATGACCTTTCCAATGCCTCCCTTTCCTTATCTCACAATAGCTGCTACTACTGGCATTATTCATGACTTGAATCCTGAAGTCTTGAATCGGTCAAGTGCTGAATACCATGGAAAAATAGAATGATTCCCTTCAATCCGGTTAAATAAACTTCAAGTTATTGCATGTTAAATAATCAGAATTGATTTTTGCATTTCATTCAAATTCAGAAAAATACAGGAAAGTTGTATTTGGAAAAAAAATCTGTGTACCAGTGCATGGTATAAGTATGTATATATCAAACTTACTATCTGAACCTCTGAATATATGAAACTCTACCATGATACAGTTTTATTACAGTAAAACATATGTAAAAAAATAAAGATGTAATAAAGTTTATTTTTGTGCAGCCACAAAGTTAAGATGGCAGTTAAACTCCGTACAGAGTATAGTTCTGTGCTACATATGCCTGTCTTGAAAGAATGTGTTCGAGAGAAGGGATCTCATGGTGTATTAGATTCCTATGGACACAAGCAATATCTCCAAACTCCAGGTAGGTGACAGTTACATGGGTGCATGTGTAGGTGATGGATACAGATATGACTTTAATAATCTTGAACCCTTGTTCGAGAAACACCTTTTGTAACCATATGGTCACTATCAGATGATAGTAACTATCTCTGAGTAGAGATGCGTAGGATTGTTTTATTGGATTTAAAGGATTCCCACTTTTAAAGAGAGTTGCCTGCTGGCTAAAGAATGGTGGATTGTAACTGCCTGAAGGCTTGTCATTGACTTGATTTAAGGCAGAGATATAAATCATAACATAATAATAGATTATTAGATATTTTAAAATACATTGGCAGAGTATGACTATCAGCTATGTAGAAAATTGTAACAACTAAAACAATTTTCAAACCCCAAGTTAAATTAATTATAAATTAATGAAACTGGAGAGAAGAGTTAATTCCTATTTTCAGAACATGAGTTTGATTCCACTACTAATCACAAGTGGCAAGGATGAGTTCTTGTCGATAGAGAGAGGTTCTTCTTGAATTCTTAACTTATGTCCACTTGCTCAAACAATTATTTTTCTTCTGAGTTAGTCAATGTTCTTGAAATTCTAGTCAAAATAAAGTAGATCCTACAGGCTGAAGTCTATATGAACCTTGTTAAAAGAAAGAAGTATTATTTCAAATATGAACATTCCTTAAGCCCTCAGATATTGTTCAAAATATGTTTAACATCTTTGTATTTTGCATTATGTAACTCAGTACACTATTTCAAGATATATAGTTTTTGTTTGCACATGTTCCATTTGTTATATTTTTATTTTTCTTACTTTTTTATTTTTATTTTATTCTTAGATATGGTCAAATATTAACATTCTGTCATTACATCATCAATTAACCTCTCTTTTGTTTAATTTATTTTTATTTTTAAAGTTAATCTTATTGCTTAATTTTTTAGAATTCAAATTCATCAATATTTCCTTTTTGTTTTTTAAAATTGATCCATTAAACCTTCTCTTTTTCTTCTCGTTTAAAATGGAAGCAAATTCATACTCTATGTAGAGGTAATCCTCAAGTTACAAATGTAATAGAGCCTGTCAATTACATTAGTAGCCTGAGGATTCGTTAATTGGATCGTGTTAAATGAACGTGATCCCTCCCTGCTTTCATTAATCGAATGCGCAGGTCGTTAAATGCACATGAGGTATCTCAGGTTGAGGAAGACCATGGAGGGGGAAAGTGCTGGAACAGGCCGCCTGCTTCACACCACCCAAGGCCTCCCGCAACGCACTAAAGTACCTCATGCTCCCTTGGGATCCCCAGAATTGCTCCCCTCCACATTTTACTCCGCTGGGTCTCCACAGGCACTGGCCTGTGGAGACTCACCTTGCAAAAAAAACTCCATGATCAAGCGAGCTTCTCCTGTCTGCTGGCAATCTGCTTTTGGAGCGCTGGGTAGCCTTGGTGAGTCTGAAGAAGCCAAAGATTGCGTCCCCAAAAGCTTCCATTCTCCATGCCAAAAGCTTTTGCTGCAGAAAATGGAGACCTGCTGGGGGCAGGAGATCGCTGTCTTCTTCAGCTCTCCGTCCTCAATTCCAAAAGCTTTTGCAAATGGGACGGAACATTTTGGGGGTGCAATCTCGCGCTACTACAGGCCTCCATCCCCTTTGCAAAGGCGTTTGGAGCAGAGAATGGAGGCATGCAGGGGTGCGATCTCACGCTTCTTCAGCTCTCGTCTTCCACTCCAAACGTTTTCGCAAAGGGGAGGGGAGACTTTGGGGGTCCAATCTCGCGCTACTTCAGGCCTCCATTCTCTTCAACAAAAGCTTTTTGCAAAAGCGATAGAGCCCTGAAGTAGTGCAAGCAGGCAGTTACACGCCCCTGCAGGCCTCCATCCCCCTTTTCAAAAGCTTTTGGCACAGAGAATGGAACACTTTGGGGATGTGATCTTGCTTCTGCCGTAGTGTATTCTTGGGTTTAAAGTGTGCACATGTGTTGTGTTGGTTGAAAATCCTCTTGAGCTTTTCAGACATTCAGATATGTATTTACATACATATACACATATTCATAATGTGATTTTTCCACATTAATTATTCCGTAGAAATTCAAATGATGGTTGCAGTTTGGAATCATGACGGGAGTTGTATGTAATTATTAAATGATTGTTTTTACTCTTCTATAAACGACTTAATACATCTCTTAATGTTTAGGAGAAGATAATGATTATTTGATAACAGGAACACATCCCTATCCTCCTGGACCCGGTGAGTAAGCTTATTGCCAAATACAATTAGGTTTAGGTGGAAATCGGTGGTATTCTAGAACAGGATCTTAAGGAAGATGTCATTGTATATTAAGGTGGAGCGTAATGATACAAACATTGATTTGAAAACAGTTTGAATGCATCTTTTATGAGGGAATTATATAAATGATCTTTATTGCTTTTGGTAGTATTTTTGATACCTTCTGTTACCGTGCAAAATATATTGCCAATATATTTTGAAATGTTTAAAAAGCTCGGCATACTTATAATCATAGAATTGGAAGGGAACAGAGGGTCTTTTAATTCAATTCTCTGCCCAGGGCAACATTCCTCAAACCTCCCAGGCAAATGATTGCCCAGCCTTCATTTGAAAAACTTCAGTGATGGAGAACTTGATTCAGGAGACATACTGTTCCACTGCTTAATAGCTCTCACAGCAAGGAAGTTTCTTAAATTTGGATCTCTCTCTGAAAATACTCAAACCAAATATCTATTGGTTTTTGTCCTACTGTCAGGGTAGAAAAAGCCTGTGTTGTTTTCCTATGACAGTTCTTACAAATATTGGAAGATTGCTATGGGTCTCCCCTCAACCTTGTCTTCTTTAAGTTAAACACACCCAGTTTAAAAGTATTTGTAAGATTTAGCACTCAACATCTTGCTATCTTCTCTGCATTCTTTTTTAGCTGCTCAGCAACCTAATGGAAGAATTCATCCATTATTAGACATTGACACAAACAAATAGAATACTTTAAATTAAGACAATTAACAGGATGCCAGATATTTTTCAAGGAATATATTCTTTTTGTTCACTTGTCTATTTACTACCCAGTAATTTATATTGTTAAATTTTCTTGAATGTTGTCTCTTTTTATATAGCTTCAGAAAACCTTATTCAAATTCATGTATTATGTACATTACAAATCATAAAATTCTTTAATCTGATTTTAGTTTTTAATGTCTGCTTCCAGTCACTGAATGTTCAAGCTCCTATTTAATCTATGCAATATGAAATGAATGTTTTAACTTGTTTAAAAACTATTGTGAAACTGGTTTTTTTTTTAATTTAAAAACCTGATTACTTTTAATGAGTACTAATAAAACTAAGGAGTTGAAATATAGCATTAGCTGTATACACAGACAGACTGTAATGATTTAAAAGCATTCAAAATTAAAAAGTCTATTAAATAGAATAATAATTGAAGTGGGCAATATTCCAATATAGAATATGTCTGTTATCAGTTAAAAACTTCACATAGAATTCCTTTGATTTCCCTGACTACGTAATTGCTTGAAGAAGTAATAATTGTTCCTTTATGTATTGCAAAATGAAAAATGGTACATTTATTAAATATATAATTTATAACATAAATGAGCATTTAGTTGTTAACATTTTTTTGTTTTTGATTATATTCTCTTTCTTTTTTTAAAATAAACAAGGAGTGGCTCTGACTGCAGACACTAAAATCCAAAGGATGCCTAGTGAATCAGCATCTCAGTCATTAGCTGTGGCACTGCCTCCTTCTCAATCCAAGTAATTATATTTCACTTATTAATTAGCTAAGAAACCAAAATGACATTTCAGATTCATTTGCAAAGCACAGTGACATAAAATGGTATTTGTTAACTCATAATGGTGTGCTCCATTTGATTATGTTCTTTGTAATTGTTTAGCAAGACGTTATTTACTGTTGATAATTTAAGAAAAAAAATAAAACAGGGACTTACATCAAAGGGCAAAACAGAAGCAGCCTGTAAGTAGATACCTTTTCTGTTTCTGATGGCTTCTGTGTGCCATAAAGGATCTTTTGATGAAAGCTACTTCTTATAGTGTCGAAAGATTTATGTATGAGCCAGGACACAATCCATGAATAATACAATCTTAACAGGCTTCTGTTTGGTAACCATTTCAGTTTAATAGGACATACATTCAAGTATGCTTGTTAACTAGGCAATCTTAAAAATATAAAGAAATAAATTGCAGTATAAATGACCTGATAATTAACTTCAGCTCATCACTACATTATGGCTACATTAATACTGACCTTAAAAAGGAAGAGGAGCCACACAAGGACAGATCTGTTTGGTCCAGCATTTTTTCCCCCAATAGCCAGCCAGGAAGGCACACAAGTGGGATGGGTGCAATTTGCTTACTTAGGCTTCTGTGCTGTCACATTCTAATATCTCTGGCAGATTATGCTACAATTACAACAATCTCCTGTTTAAAAAATCCAAAATTTTGTATCACGGAATCAGATAAATCAGTTACTCAGTCACAGTACAATATAAATTTATTCCTTGAAGACTTTAAAGAAGCACAGTGTTTTAATACCTTTCTAAATATTAGAATAGAATAGAATAGAATAGAATAGAATAGAATAGAATAGAATAGAATAGAATAGAATAGAATAGAATAGAATAGAATAGAATAGAATAGAATAGAATAGAGCTGGAAGGGACCTTGGAGGTCTTTTCAACCAGTGGTAGGGGTACCACCTGTGGTACATTGGCATCTGGCAGGTGGTATGCGGCCATCCTAGAAAAGTGGTAGCGGGACAGGGGAATGAGCTGAACCAGTGGCAGCACTGCACAAGCCTGAGCGAGAGATGGCTGGAGCTGCAGGGCTGTCAGGGCTCAGCGGAAGCGCCAGGATCAGCACCAGGCTCCAGCTGGAGCTCGACGCTGATCCTGGTGCTTCTGCTGAGCCCAGAAAAAGCGCCAGGATCAATTGGAATGTTGCAGCCTCTCCAGGGTCTTGTGATTTACATTCAGATGCTTGGCAACTGATTCATATTTATGATGGTCACAGTGTCCCAGAGTCATGTGAAGTGACTTCTGCAACCACCCAGCAGACGGGGGGGGGGGGAATAAAAACCAAACACCCCCCCCACCCCCGCTGCCAATCCTCAACAGAAATGCTCACAACAATGAAAACCTCGGACAGGAGGAAGAGCGCTGCCGGGTGGGGGGGGCAGGCAGGTGTCTTGCTCGGCTGTGGCTTGGGGGGCACTTTTTTCAGTGCCATTGTAACTTCGAACAGTCACTAAGCGAACTGTTGTAAGTCGAGGACTACCTGTACTTTATCAAGTTTTTGACACCTTGCTAGGCGACTGGTGGTACTTGGATGTTGCCATATCCTAAAAGGGGTACAATGGGTGAAAAGGTTGAAAAGCCCTGATCTAGTCCAGCCCCCTGCTCAAGCAGGAGGACCTACCATCTCATATACCTATACCTATACCATTATTAGAGAAGGAGCCATCCAGCTATTCTAGGAGGAAGACCTGCTATTTCTTGAAAGACCTATTCCAGGTCTTATTGTTTTTTTATTCTTATCTCCAGCAATCCTTTTGGACGTTTACTCTTCCATTAGCAACAAAGGTTATAAACCATACTTGCCTCAATGAATGTGCATCTATTTCGTGTGTCTTTGGTATTATGACAAGTACTGATGTAAACAATAATGCAGGATAATAGTGAAAATTTGTAAAACCTAAGGCTCATGAAATACTATGGAATCTAATAGTCATGCTTAAAATGTTGCTACTTATTACCAGTTTAGCTGGAGTGTGATCTGAACATATTTGTTTGTTCTGCACTAACATGATATTCCAAAGGTTTTCTTGAATAGGTGTATTGTCAGTTATATACCAAGTCAGCACTCTTTATGGAGGTAATAAGCCCACATCATTTTTTCTCTTTTCAGAATAGAATCAAATAGAACTGCTGCTGGCGTAGGTGATATATATAGACATGCTGGGATGCCTGAGCGTTCACAGCCTCCAGGTTTGACTATGGTAAGTTTCAGTAATAGGGACCCTCTAATTAATCTAATCTAATCTAATTAATCAGATTATATTCTAGTCTTCTAATGAGCTAGAAAGAGCATAGACTTTTGTGACAGAATTATATTATAGGCCCCTGTGAGAGTAGTTCAATGAAGAAAAAGATATGATGTCATGTTTGTTCAATTTACAGGCTCTGATGGAAGCTGGTGGGAATAAAAATTCTGCATTAATGGCAAAGAAGGCTCCAACAATGCCAAAACCACAGTGGCATCCACCATGGAAGCTATACAGAGTAAGTAGTAAATATATTAGAACTATTTATTGCCAGATAAATAGTTTGTTAAATGTTGGACTAGTTTAGATGGGAATACAAAACTATATGCTGAGATTATTAGAAGAATAAGCCTATTCTGACCTTGAATTCAGTTACTATCACTCCTACTTCAATATGCTTTAGGCCGGTTGGAAACATCTATAAATAAAGTAACAGCATTCTGATTAAAGTTTATTGACTGAATCAAGGTCAAATCATATTTTTGTTCTGTCTTGTTCTAGTAAATCATAACTGAATAGCAATTTCTGTGACTTAAAATTTGAAGTAATGTTTCTAATCACTTCAAAGTAGCAGAGAAGATAGCAAAGAGAGCTTGATGTAGAAACTCATTCCAACTATTTTTAGGTCAAATAGCTTGGTCTTGTGTGGAATACTATTGGCAGAACTGTCAGAGTGACTGGAACCAATTTTTTTTAAGGCCCCATTCTTTAGAACTTCATGGAAACATATTGTATGTAAGCCCCTTAGAAGCATCTAGTTCAGTGGTTCTCAACCTGTGGGTCGGGACCCCATTTGGGGTCGATCGACCATTTCACGGGGGTCGCCAAGCAAGGCTGTCCGCCATTTTTTTTGTCCGCCATTTTTTCCCCCCTTTTCCGGCGGGTGCCTTACCTCCCTTGGGCTGGGCCAGCTGGTGGTCGGCCTGCTCCGTCTCTGCCGCTTGCCAGCTATGCCTCGGCTGGCGCAGGGGGTGGAACCATGCATGCGCGGCGCTCCCAGGCAGGGAAAGTCCTTGACTTACGACCGGTTGGGTAGTCCTCGACTTACGACCGGTTTAGTCCTCGACTTATAACCGGTTTAGTCCTCGACTTATGACTGGTTTAGTCCTCGACTTACGACCAGTTGGGGTTGCGGCATTAAAAAGGTTGAGAACCACTGATCTAGTTCATTACACTCATGTGCACAGTAACTGACTTACTCATTTATTGTCTTTAGCATTAGTTAACTAGATATTTCTACAAAATGGTGAGACAACTATAGTAGGCAAGGCAGCACATTCTCAAATACAGTCCAAACAAAATTAACACAAGTTCATTTTAAAATTGAAGAAAGGTATGGACAATTTATCTTTGTTTATGTCATCAAGGAGGGAACTTAAAAAGATGAAAATGATGCAACTTGGGGGGAAAAAAAACCAAAGCTCCAAACTCTGAAGTTTAACTAATATAGTACTGACCCTTTTAATATAGCTCTATGCATTATAGAGACAAAAGCTGTTGCAAAGGAATTTGCCCTAGAAGGCAGCAAGAAAAATGATCTTATTTTGAATAAAATTTGAAATTACAAAGTCTAAGAATTCCTGATCGTGGCTGGATATGCTGTGGTGGCGCAGTGTAAGAGCCCTGGTGGTGCAGTAGTTAGAATGCAGCATTGCAGGAATTTGATCCTGAGCAGCTCAAGATTGACTCGGCATTCCATCCTTCCGAGGTTGGTAAAATGAGGACCCAGATTGTTGGAGGCAGTACGCTGACATTTTAAACTGCCCAGAGAGTGCTGTAAAGAGCGATATATAAGTCTTATTGGTATTGCTATTTGTACATAATGATTATCCTAATTTAGTGCAGAACTGGGCAACCTGCATCCTATATAGGTTTTGCAATTCCCTTTGGAACCCCATAATCATTATTCATTGAACATTGGCAACATTATAGTTACTGATACATTTGAAGCCAAACAAACTTTTTGTTATGTAACTGCTTTAAGTTGTCAGGGTTGATATTTTATCTAAATTGATAAACTATTCTATAACTTTTTTAGGTTATCAGTGGACATTTGGGATGGGTGAGATGTATTGCAGTTGAACCAGGAAATCAGTGGTTTGTTACTGGCTCTGCTGACCGGACTATAAAGGTGAGATGTTGACTTAATTGTAGTCCAGTACTTTTTATATTATTTCAGTAATATACTTCATAATAGTGCTTTAGTAATATCCACTTCAGTATATTTTATTATTCTTTATCTTTGCCTATAGGCCAAATTGTTTAAGTGTGTTAGTGTTCCCAAACTGGGATTAGTATAGTAAACTATTTTTCCAGTCTTTCTACCATCATGAATATATTTTGTATTCTACTAAGAACTTCGAGATGTTGCTCAGATAGAATAACAGATGTCTGTGTGTGTTATTTCCAAAAACATCAAAGATGTATTTTTCTCATTACAGATTTGGGATCTTGCAAGTGGCAAATTAAAACTGTCTTTAACAGGACATATTAGTACAGTTCGAGGTGTAATAGTCAGTGGAAGAAGTCCTTATCTTTTCTCATGTGGGGAAGATAAACAGGTGAAATGCTGGGATCTTGAATATAATAAGGTAACTAAATGAACTTGAAACAGTTGGAATCTTTCAGCAATGTGATGATAATGGAACATTCAGTGCTGATTGTAATATGTTTACGTCCAGGTTATTAGGCATTACCATGGCCACCTAAGTGCTGTGTATGGTTTGGATTTGCATCCAACAATAGATGTGCTTGTAACTTGTAGCAGAGATTCAACAGCCCGTGTAAGTAAAGCAGAAATAATTATATATATTTAAAAAAACATGTTTGTCCCTGTGGAAACTAATATGATTTTTTTTGTCATTAGCTATTTATACTCTCTTTTAAAAATCTTCAGATTTTACTAATTGTAGTCAATCAAATAAGGATGCTGCACCACAGCATCCCAGGTTGCACAGAGATACTTTTGCAAAATAATCAAATTTGGGGAGTACTGTTTAATACTTTTGTTTTAAGGGTTGGGAGTAGAAATAAGAGAGAACCCTGGGGCTGCAAACTGTTGTAATCTGTGCTTTATTCATCAAAGGCTTACAAAAATAAGCTGAGCAGTTTCAGTTCTTCTCCTTAGCATAACAAACCATGCCAGTGGCGGAAAGTGCTTGTGTGTTCCTGTTATTTTCCTATACAAATACACCCAAAGGAACCCCAAATGCCCAATTAAGAATTGAGACAGGCATGCCCCAAATCCAGGTAAGAGCCTGGAAGATGATGATCGTTCACTGGCTTAAAATGCATTTCTTTCCAGAGGGACTGTCCCCCCGTTAGTGCTGACTGACAACTTCCCCTCCCCCTAGAAGCAGGCGATAGACCATAAACTGGGCTCTTATGGGCTCTCATCGGTATTCTTAATGTCCCTAGGCTTTGACCAAGCAAAGCAAGTAGTATCCAATAGAATGAAGGACATGGAGTTCCAAGAAGAACTAAATAGGTTGCCTCGCCACAGTAGGGATAGAATCAAACAGGGTGTGTGGGAATCGGCAAGATATCTGAATGATCTGACCTTCCCAAAACAAAGAATAGCTTTCTTCAGAGCCAGATTTAACATTCTTCCCTCAGCACTCCTACAGGGCAGGTATAAGAGAACACCAATAGCAGAACGGGTATGTATATGTGGTAAAGGAGAAGTCGAAGACATCTCACATGTTTTATTGTACTGTGAGTTATACCGAGTTTATAGGTCAGCATATATTCTCCCCTTATTAGAGAGATTGCCGGGGGGGGGGAGACAATTTTTATGTAGGCTTTCTCCTCCAGGACTCAAACCCTTCTATCACGCATGCAGTGGCAAAATACTGCGTTGCGGCAATGTCCACAAGAAAAAAAATTGGTTACAGATTTATAGCCGTCAACTTGTGCCAATTTTTTGGAGATATCTCTAATAATGTTTGGAACATTATATTTACTCACACACTAATCGGCTATCCATTCACGTAAACTAGGGAGTGACCCTAACATTTTGAGAATATGTATTTTCTTAACAGGGATGTTATTATTTACTATTAATGTCAGTACTATTTTTATTTTTATTTTTTTCTTAATATATTGTAAAAAGTGATGTCTATTGCTGGTCTATGACCGTAATAAAATTATTCTTGTTGTTGTGTTGTTGTTATTATTCCTATACAAATACTGTTCTTACCGTATATGGGAGTTCATAATGATATTAAGGTCAGCAGGATCCTGAGTGATATGCTCATAGTTATAAACAAATGGTAAAGTTTGTTTAATAAAGATTGTTTATTGTACTTAATTGTTCAAATTTATGATCTTATTAGATCTGGGATGTAAGAACAAAAGCTGGTGTGCATACATTGTCAGGACACACAAATGCTGTGGCAACAGTGAAGTGCCAAGCAGCAGAGCCACAGATTATCACAGGTATGATGAATGCTGCTTGTTAAAGTGGAACATACTGTAATTCAGTAAGTCGATCCTATAGCCAACTTGCACACAGTTGCTTGTGGTTTAATAAAATGCTTCCATTTGTTGTGTTCTAGTTGAGCATTTGTAGCTTTCAAACCATGCAAACATTTTAAATAAGATTCTGCATATAGCTAAGAACTCTGGGTATAAACAAGTATAAATGCCCAGAATTTTAAAAAAATATACCGAGAGCATGAGAATCTTGAATGCTTTTCAGAGTTGTTACTGGATTGCAGCTAGTACTTATGCAACAGGCAAATAAATTTGTTAAGTTTTGAAAAACTGTCTTGCAAAGGAGGAGAAGGTCTTTCAGAAAACCATCTCTAATGACGAAACCGGTACACTTATTCCGGGTGTTTACTTGATCTTATATATGTACAGAGACGTCGTCGAGGTTAACACCCAGGACCCTGTAAGGGACCTGGATACCATCTTGTCTCTCCCAGCAGCCGTCGTACGACATCCTGTCACCATCGCTTGGAAAAACTCTGGCTCACGGGTTTGACGTTGGGCTTTGGGTGAATCGCATCGCCGGGTGCCGGGGGCATGGCCACCAAGTGGGCATGGCTATGGTAGTCATGGTAGCGTGGGTGGGCGTGGCCACCTCGATGTTGCTCCTGGGGCCGGGCAGGCAGGATTGGGGGAGATTCAGGGGTTCTCTGGCGGGTGGGGCAGTGGATAGGAGGCTCCTCCTACAGGGTGAGGTGAGGCAAGGGAGGGGGCAGGGCAGGAGTGCCATTGCCATGGGGCAAGGCAAGGTGAGGCGGGCTGGTTGCAGACAAAGGGGGGCTCCAATGAGGAGGAGGAGGAGGAGGAGGAGGTGGAAGAGGGTTTAAACAAGGTTAGCAACCAGAGTGGGGATCCCCCCCCCAAACAAACATGCTTCGTGGGTAACCTCAAAGAACGACAGAAGAGACCAAAACCTGCTACAACCACCCAGCAGATGGGAGGGGAATAAAAACCAAACAGCCACCCCCCGGAGAGCTGCGCATGCACAAAGAGTGCAAAGAGCTGCGCATGCGCAGAGAGCACAAAGAGCTGTGCATGCACAGAGAGCACGAAGTGCTGCGCATGCATGAAGAGGAGGAGGGAAGCAGCTCGGCCCAGCAATGGCTCGCATGCCACTAGGGACGGCTCCGCGTGCCACCTGTGGCACGCGTGCCATAGGTTCGCCACCACGGCTGTAGAATCTCTGTATTGCTATAGCATTCAGTGGGGTGCCGGAAGTAATACCAGTATCTCTACCATCTTTCTTCTCTTAGTAAGACTCAAAGCAATGGGAAGATTTTCAAGTGCTGGGGAAACAAACGTTAAGTAAAAGGAAAATATGGTCAAAGTATATATATTACTTCTTAAATTCATTTCTTCGCTGCAGGAAGTCATGACACCACCATACGTCTCTGGGACATGGTAGCAGGAAAAACACGGGTCACGTTAACAAATCACAAGAAATCGGTTAGAGCAGTTGTCTTGCATCCACGACAGTAAGATTTTCCATGTTTTTTTTTTAAAACAGGCTTTTAAAAATGTAAATATACCATTTTTAGTACAGATAAGTCAGACTACTAGTCATGAATTCAATACTGTGCTGCCCATTTAAGGCAATAATTTGCTCTAGTAGTTGTAACTATTAGAAGAATGTATTATTGCAATGTCACATGACCTTGTGAGCTTTTGATCATTGCTTGAACTTTTCCTTCATTGAGGCCAGAGGGTTTGTGTGCAAAAGTGTTCCAATATCTCAGGGGCTGCCACAAAGAAGAGGGAGACAAGCTATTCTCCAAAGCGCCTGAAGGCAGGACAAGAAGCAACGGATGGAAACTGATCAAGGAGAGAAGCAACCTAGAACTAAGGAGAAACTTCCTGACAGTTAGAACAGTTTGAACTCATCCACCAGAGCTCCTCCACCTGAATGGACAACTGTCCACTGTCCGGAGAGCTGGGAAGCCACAGATGTTGCCCCTTGTTTTGGGAATAAAGTCCAAATTAAAACGTCGTCCCTTGCATCTGAAATCTAGCATTAGAGATCCAGAGAATCGAGGTTTTCTGTCCATGTCAATTGGAGTCGAAGGAGAAATACGCATAAGGATTCGATGTTATTCATCTTAAAAAGATGTTATGAGAATGTGGCTAAAGAAACAAAAAGATTAAATGTTATACATTCCCTAACCAAGTACCCTACAATAGTCCTCGTTTTACAACCTTTCCTTTTGGGACCGTTCCAATTTCCAATGGCACTGAAAAGAGTGACGTATCATGGGTCCTCGCACATATGACTGTAGCAGCATCCCCAGGGTCACATGCTCATGGCTTGGGTGCAGGGTCATTGGCTTGGAGTTACGACAAGTGGCAGCAATGGGCAAAGCTGCACTTGCTTAATGACTGCCTGATTCACTAAACAACTGCCCTGATTCTCTTAATCACCATGGCAAAAACACCGTAAATCTGAGGACAACTCGCTTAAGGACCACCTAGCGTAGCAATGGCAATACTGGTCCCAATTCTGGCTGTGAGTCGAGGACTGCCTTAAGGACGCAGCAGTGGTGTTCTATTCTGTGCGTTGGTAAGTCATTGAGATGAGGCAGGAGTAACAACAGTTGCTTTTTTATGTAATCTCCAACAAAACAACACAAAATGGCGCGGATCCCTTTTATACCCTTCTGCAGGGAGCAGCATCAACCAATAGATGCAACGTATTTTTCCCGCCTTGCGCATGCGCAATAGGCTGGAGACAGCCTGTCTGGCCCGGGCAGCCTCGTGGTCTGCCCGGGACTCTGCAGTTTCCTGCAGAGTTGGAAGGGACCTTGGAGGTCATCAAGTCCAACCCCCTGCTCAGGCAGGAACCCTACACCATTTCAGACAAATGGCTGTCCAGTCTCTTCTTAAAAACTTCCAGTGTTGGAGCATTCACCGCTTCTGGAGGTTCCAACAAGGTGACCAATTAACAAGAGTGACAGTCCTTCAAAGAGGAATCAAGATCCAACGAAGAGAGGAACCAATCAAAGGTAGGCAACGAAGAACAGGACGGAAGTCCGCGAAACCTCTTATCGAACTGAGGGAGAAGAAACACCGTCGGGGACTCTATGACCTTGTGACGATAGTACAGAGGGGAGCAGGAAGAGATCGTTAAACTAGACATACCCAATTCCAGCAACCGTTCCTTATATGCTTTAGCCTCCAGTCCCCTAATCATCTTTGTTGCTCTTCTCTGTACTTCAGACAATGCTGGCTCCGTCGGGTAAGAAATGGAGGTGAACACCGTGCCCTAGAGTAGGACATGGCTGGACAGGGGAAACCTACCGTGGACAAAATCTATATGCCATATCTTTCTGTGTATTATACACAAGCCCATTTTATACTGAATAAAATAAACATGTTATCCATTGTCCTTCCTGTTTTATGTATGTATAATTTCCCGTTCATATTTAACAAATATTTGGCTTTAGCAGACATCCTGCCCCTCATTAATCAGTTACTTTGTTTTCAAACAAGCAAGTCTATGGTGCTTAAATTACTGGGTGAAGAACTTAGGCTTTCTAGTTGCTGCTAAACGTCAAGTTCCGTATAGTTTTACTATTAATAATGTGGACTGAAAGTTGATCACTGGAAGTTGTAATTCAAAAACATATGGAAAGCCAAATTTCTTTGTCACCAAAAATAATTCAGAGGTAATAGTTTAACGTTGAAATTGTAATTTTCTGTAAACTTTAATTATTGGTTGTTAAAGTTACCAGGGTTTATTACAGTTTCAATGTAATAAACCCTGGTAACTTTAACAACCAATAATTAAATACTGATTAATTAGGCATCCAGTAGTTACTAAGATCTTAATATATATTTTCTTACAGATACACATTTGCATCTGGGTCTCCAGATAACATAAAACAGTGGAAATTCCCTGATGGAAATTTCATCCAAAACCTTTCTGGCCACAGTGCAATTATCAATACGTTGGCTGTGAACTCAGATGGAGTCCTGGTTTCTGGAGGTAAATTAAAATTTACATATGATTTCAAAACAAATTCTGTTTTGCTATTATGCACTGTAAGACTCGTGATACAGCGCTGCCTTTTGTGTGCTATTCTAAAGCTCTGATTATTTAGAACTTATTGCCAGACTTAACGATTACCATGAACATATACAGACATCAGTGCTGGAAGGATTTCATATGGGTTTTCAATTTATTTTGGCCCTTAATTTTTTGGAACGGTAACCTGTGACTATGCACAGGATGTTAATATCCATCGTGTCTAACCAGTAACCATGCAGTGTCACTGAGAATCCACAAATTTCTTACTTCTAGTTTGAAATGTCCTTGCCCAAGTTTCAGCATCTTATCTCCTGTAAGATTTTCCTTCACAAAGGCAAAAGTGAATATATTTACTTCACATTTTGGCACTTGCTGAAATCTGGTGTGGGCAAGGAGATGAACCTTCCCAAAGCTAACAATTGTGCTGTCCACCGGGGTAGTGCATCATGCCAGTTTTTCAATTTTTTTCCCCCTTAGCACAGCAATACACATTTATTTCAACAAATGTTTGTAGGGTAGCAATTCCATTTTTCAGCTTTTGGCATTGCAAACTGCTTTAAAAACAGATTTGGAGCACTTTACATTTGGTTCTTTTGGAACTGAATAAAATAATTAAAAATATTAACCCAATGCTTGGTTATATTTTTATTTTAAAAGCAATATATATATTTGTTGTACAGCCATGTTCTTAGGAGAGCTTTCAGTGAAAGCAAATTCAACCCCATTTAAATATGTATGCCAGGAGAAATGTTAAAGAAAGTTTAGCCTAACACAAGAAACACAGATAATATAAAAGATTTCTACATGATGCCAGTATTTTAGCAGAGGAATTCTGGGAAGTTTTTTTTTCCTGGACTTTCTAGTCAGCCCTCCTAGGTACTCTAGTGTTATGTTTGGCTATAATTCCCATTGTGTATATAACCCACTACTTGAAAATGGGCATGACTAGGAGGCTTTCTGCAATATATATTAACTGCGGATAGTATCAGTACAAGTTGCAGGAAACTAAAATGCCATATCTTAGTAGAACACTTGTAATGTTTACATTTTTCTAGAAGTCAATCCTAGTGAAATCAGAGGGGCATAGAGATGCATTGTTAATCCTATTACGTATGAATTGTGTGGGTGCAAACAGATCTGGGTTATGGTGGATATAGTCAGTCTTTGGAATAACTGTACTATATAATAATAATTATAATTGTTATTTTGCGGTCACAGACCAAAATGCAAGTGCAACAAAAGAAAACACAAGAAAAATATAATCACAAACAATTAACACCAAAAGCCTTGGCTAAAGGGAATTACAACGTTCTCCTCTAATAGTTACAGCTCTTAAAAGAAATTTAGAGACCTGAGAAGTAATATAGGAGGAGCCATCCCCTAGACAATATAAAACCAAATTACTAACGTTAGAACCAGAGGGATCAATTCCAAGGAGAGACAATAATTTAATTCTGGCTGTGTTATACATAGGGCAGTATAATAAGACATGCTCCACAGTTTCAACTTCGGCCCTATCACAGGGTCATAGTCGCTCACTAAACAGGAGCCTCTTAAATCGCCCATCGAGTAGTGCTGAGGGCAAGACATTGAAACGGGCTAGGGAAAAGACTCTTCTATACTTGAGGATGGTTAGAGTATAGAAATATGAAGCCATCCTCAGTCCATAATTATTAGAATGGCTAAAGATCAAAGGGGAACTGTGCTATATACTTGAATTGTAACTCTGAATAAATATGCCAGTGTTTTATTTTCAGCTGACAATGGTACAATGCACCTTTGGGATTGGAGAACTGGGTACAACTTCCAGAGGGTGCATGCAGCTGTGCAGCCTGGCTCTTTGGACAGTGAATCTGGAATATTTGCTTGTGCATTTGACCAATCTGAAAGCAGACTTCTTACAGCTGAAGCTGATAAAACTATAAAAGTCTACAAAGAAGATGATTCTGCGGTATGTGGGATCTTTTTTTAATAATATTTTACAGCATAAAACTAAGTTAAAGATACATTTAGTACATGTATTCTGAAATTAATCTCAAAAACATATTTAAGGCTGAACTGTAATGAAATAAGGTTCACAAACAACATTTTACACAAGTGGAAACGTCGTTTTTAAAAAATGGGGTTTATAAGTTGAGTTCAGTTGCCTGTCCAGTAGAAGCTGACTAGTAACAGAATACAATAAATGCTTTTATAGTCTGTTCTTCAATTTTAATAGAACAACTATGACAACACTATAGGTGATCAGATATTTATTCAATTTGGCTAATATATGTATTTATGGTTGTATTTTAAAAGTAGTGAACTACACTTTATAGAACAATTTTATGTATATCCACTCATAAGAAAGTTCAACTTAGTTTTGTGGAATTTATTTCCAAGTAAATTTATGAGATTTTAACCTTGCTTTCACATTTAGTATAGCAGTATGTAGTGATGTATAAAGGAAGATATATCAAAACAAACCAACTGGTTGAATTCTGGCAGTTCACAAATGACAAGAAATCGCTCTTAGACTGTTTAGCAAAATATCTGATTAATGAAAATAGTAAAATAGATACTCACTTTCAAAAACAATTTTAATTCTTCTGTTTCTTAGTTGATGCTGTGATTTATGTGAAATATTTCAGTGGGATTATTTAAATCCTTCCCCAGACTGTAATCGTGGATAACCTGAAATGAAATAGGAAATAAATCCATTTGTGCTTTTTTGTGTTTCCACACCACTGGTGACTTTCTATAGCCGTTAAAATTAAAAAAGAAATGGGGAATATAGATACAGAAGATGTGGCACTGAGTTCCTCATCAGCTAGGGATTAATTGGGAAGTTAGTACAAGTAACTGTTCTAAGTAAGAAATAACAAAGTAGTCTCAATTAGCATATAATTTGGGATTGTATTCAGAAATTCCCTAGAGCAGTGTTTCTCAACCTTGACAATTTTAAGGCATGTGGACTTCAACTCCCAGAATTCCACAGCCAGCATTGCTGGCTGTGGAATTCTGGGAGTTGAAGTCTACATGCCTTAAAATTGTCAAAGTTGAAAAACACTGGCCTAGAGCCAGTTTTAGGAAATATGTAACTGTAGCATATGCAAAGTTAAAATTGGGTTAGAACTCTTTTTTTCTTCTTTATTCTCTTCAGACTGAAGAAACTCATCCTGTTAGCTGGAAACCTGAAATCATCAAGAGAAAACGATTTTAATAAGACCAAACCTCCATTGATGTGCCATAATCCTGACTCTTTGTTACATAGCAGAAACATTGCTAAAGCCATTGCTTCAGTTTGCAGTTTTTATATTTTGTATTGCTTTCTTCTAGGAGTTTTATCTTTTATCTTAGAAAAATCAGTTGCAATTATTATACATGTCTGAAGAAATCAGAGTACATTACATAGCAGTAGCAGACCATGAAATGTTTGCATGTCTTTCTGTGTGGACGGAAGGCAGTGCCCTTTTCTTTCTGCCTTCTTCCTCTGATGAAGAAGTAATGTTTGAAATTTTGATGATTTTTTTTTTTTAGAAAAATACTTATAGAGTACTCTGTCCTGGGACCCTGAGTGGTAAAATTGTCAAGGGAAAACAAAAGCCATTGTAGTAATGATTCACGTCCTTAATACAATGTGCTGCTTGTCAAGATGTAATGCAATACATTTCATTTCCCTAAAATAGAAGACTTGAACTGCAGTCTCACATGTTGAACGTGCATCATTCTGCTTGAGTCATGGTTCTATTTTTGCCTATCCCATATTGGAATCATCATTAAAATTTTATTGAAACAGCCTTTATAAAAAAATAATTCGATGCTTGTCTCTTCCATTTTTACATACATATTTATGAAAGCTTAAAAACAAAAGTGAAGGTAATACATTGGAAAGGATATAGAATACATTTCAGAAATAGCATACGGTATGCTTTTTGGCTGAAATGAAATACCCTTGTATATGGGTGGATTTTGCTTTAAATATGGTGGCAAAGTGTTCCTTATTTTGGTTTGTGAGTGCAGCCCTTCAACATTGAAACTTGCTTCTGGGTAGCATGACCTCCATAGCGTTTCAGAAAGTTCTGTTAGGAGGGACTGGAAAAGTCATTGTGCATCTTTTTCTTTCTGTTTTGGATTTTGCTTACTACTACAAGAATTTGTCTAATATGGATTGAAATCCTTAATTTTCATAGTGAATTGTAACGAAGACAATTTGGATATAAATGATATAATGTTTTCACTTAAACTTTCTAAAAAAATGTTTAAAGTATGTATTATATGTATGCTTGTATTCGTTCACATGTAATATTGTCAGTAGCATGCTTGATTTGTTACTGTTATCGATGTAATTTCCATATAACAGGCTATTGAGGATTAAGTTTTGATAAAAAATATGCAATTGCTGTAGAAAGCTTTTGTTACAAAGATCATATATGTTACAGGTGTGTGATAATACATTTTAAGTACCTTAAAAATTGGAATAGTTTGCACTTTTCCTTATACCCTGACTCAGGTTGGAGTCATTGTGAAGCTGTGGTCCATTTCTTATATTACCAAGATAATCAATTATACTTAATACCAAGTAGAAGTACCTAGGAATTTATGGTGCAAGTCTCTGTTAAATGAAATGACTGCATTGCATCAATACTTTTAAACATCAGCTACAGATTATAAACCTAAATATGGCATATCACAAGTATATGATCTCCTCTTACTAAGAACTATTTTATTCCTCATACTAGAGAATTCTGAGAGAAAGGAACCAAATGTTTCACATGTGCAATTGCAATTTGAGAAGAATCTGTGATAGAAACTTTATTTTGGTCCATATATTTGCAGAAGAATGTTAAAAGCTATTTTGCTTATGTTTGATTCTTTGGGTCACTTCCAAGTGTATCCACTTAAAAACAATTGCTTAATATGTTGAGTACCTGATATTAATATTTTAATTGAAAAAAGTGATATTCTGTTTGGAAAGACTTCATAACATTTGCTCCTTGGCCAGGGTGCGCTGAGGTTTTATCAAGTAAATCAGTATATTCTAGTGTTTCAGAAAGTAACCATTCTTTGCATGTTTTTTTTAAACTTGTGTCTTGGAACAATGAGCTGGAGCTAATCTCAGGAATGATGCCCAGATTGTTATATCAGTGGGAGCCTTCAGTGTGGTCTTTAGAGTGTAATCTTCCAGGGTACAGCTATTCGGGCCAAATTCTAAACAATCTCTTGAGTACTACCTTATTATCCAGAAGCCATACATAGGATGGTTAAATGGGCAGGTATATATATGCCCTCCCCCCCAAAAAAACCAAACCCAAAGATAGAGAGCTTCCAAAAGGCTAATTGATGGAAGGCTTAGATACTCCAACCTGCTTGAATTTTACATAACATTTGTTGAAGAGGTTTTAGAAATCATTTAGGTGACACTAGTCAATTGCTAATAGATTTTTCCAAGCTATTGAAACAATCCAGAGAAAACTAGGAACTGGGTATAAGCTATATAGTGGTTACTTCAGTTGATATGAGGACACTCACTTACCTTAAGAAATATCAGAACTACTTAAATGCTGATTTGTACAATTGTAGGTGTGAGTAAAATGGTGATCATGGAAAATAATGTTAGGACTCAACTGCTTTTTGATATCATTTCTGGATGATAATCATAAGCACACAATGGAAAATATCTATTTGAAAACTTCTTCCCAAGAAAGCAGGACTCTTGGAACAGTTTCATTCCAAAAGGAACTTTTATTAGGAGAAGCTGATAGCAGGCATAGAAGGCAGGATCTGAGGGTTTACCGCTCAGATCAATAGGTTAAAAAAGTCCCAAGCAAACCCCACCCCAACAGTTCATCCAGTCAGTTTGAATGGGCCAATTCCCAGGTGTTAAGTCCGCGGTGGGAACGGAGCTGATAACAGAGTCTGTTCCCATGCCTGTGGAGACGTTGGGTCTTCGCACCTTTCTCTTCCACAGCGAGAGATAAGCCAGATGGTCGGAGGCACATTCCTTTCTCACCCCAGGTTGACATCAAGGGAGAAACGGTTCAAAGAGCGAGCATGTAGAGACAGCAGAGAGGATATATTGTAGCAAAGTAGAAAGGGCATCCCCAGAGCCTTCCCACCTCCCCCTCGGGAGAATGGCAGAACCCACAGAAAGAAAGGAAAAGAAATGAATTAGACCCCCCCCCCCCAAGAAGGAAATGGGTTCTGACAGATGTACTCAGTCTATACTGGAGATGTAAAAATCCTGGACAAAAATTCTCCTTTGTTCTTAAGAATAAAAGCTGCTATTTGGACAACTTATCAGGGATATATTAACTAGTAATCTTTGATTTTGTAACAATTTTAAAAGCAGAAACCGATCTTTTCACATATATTTAAAGGAAAAATAGAGATTCTGTTGTATATTTCATTCTGCCTTTATCATTATTGCCATTGGTGAAGGCAACAAGATCTGCTCATACTGTTATGTTGGACTGAGTCAGAAACTGCATGAAAATGGATTAAAGGGAAATGTTTATTTCCTTGGCTATGGTAAGACTATTACAATAATCAATTTATTTAGATTTGTGCATGAAAAGTGTTTTTAAAACAATATCTTGTCCATGTCAGATAATTGATGAGTGTAACCACTGAAATGGTGGTGAGGGATGTTTTCTCCAAAGAAACAAGAACTAAATGCATTCTATGAAATTTACCTCCAAGTAATGTGTATATTATTCTGCTATAATGAGAAGCAATAGTAACTCAAATTAACGAGTGGATCTGTATCTCAGCGAATAACATCTTTTAGAAAAGAAATATTAGAAATTGTGATTTTATTTTCAGATTATCTTTCAAGTTGATACATAAAGGTGGATCCCTCAAAATCAGGAAGTTTAGATGATGTGGTATTGAAAGAGACTATAATTCCTGTTAGCATACCTCAGAGTGTGATTAGAATTCAAACAGTGTTTTCATATCTAATGGAATGTTCCATTCTGAATCTGTAAAAATATCCATTTTTGTCATCATCTGGGGTTTTTTTACTTCCAAAGTGTAGATAAATATGAGAAATGTAGGCTGCATTTTTTTACTTTTAAGGAAATTAAAATAGAATAAATTCCCTGTATGTATTCTATCTAGCATGCAGTATAAATGTAGAATAAAGTTGCTACTATTTGTGAATGAAAGAATGGACACAAAGTATTTTTAAGTATACCCTAAATATTGGTCATATTTGCAATTTCTGACTAATAAAATTTTAACTAGAGCACTATTTTGTTCCTATTTAGAACTCACTCCAAATAATTAACATTGGGCAACCACAGTGTATTGAAATTTTGAGATATTCACATTAGAAAAAATGATGCTTGTATTGCTGTTGATAAGGCTTAAAATATCAAACTGCTTGGTTCTGCATAATAATAGGCTGTTCCTCTGAACTGTGGCACTGGCAGACATTCTGTGTAGAAAACCTTTACTGCTCATTTATTAAATTTGTATGTCACCGATCTTGCTATTGAGTGACTCTTGAGTGGCTTGCAACACTATAAAAACAAGAATTTAAAAACGTAAAAATTAAGATAACTTGGGTAAAAGTGGGAAGCAGTACACGAGTAGGATGCAGGTGGGATCTTAGTCCACTAGTCACCTGGTGTAGAATGCCCCCAAAGGGGCCTTCTAATGTGGAGTATGTTCTACTATTTAAGCTTAAGATTCTAGGGTGTTAAAATATACTTCAGAGGTTTTCCTTCATAAGAGAAATAACTATAGTGGCTAAAAATAATCTTTTTATGTGGAACATCCTGTATTTAAATATCTAAATGAGAAAACTTGGGAGGACAAAAACCATCCTAAATCTATTTTAAGTGTTTTATAAAATTATAAAATTTATAAAATAAAGTATGCCATACAATTTAAAAAGATACCAATGAAAGGCTTCAAATTCTTATTCCGGGAGAAAAGAATAACCTAAAATAAAAATTTCTGTTTGTAATGAATGCCCTCAATGTCAGCTTCTTAATTAATTAAGAATTTCTTCTTCTTCTGCACAAATTTACCTTTTGGATCACCTTAATGGGAGCATTCATATTTGCAAAAATAAATCCCTTTATATAGTTAAGTAAGTATGGTTGCAGTGTTCTGGCTATCATCACCATTCTTTAAATACTTGGTATTGTATACAGAACCTGTTCTTTGACAGTGTTATTTTGCAAACTATCCTCAAACCCAAATCACCATATTCTAGGCACAAATATGCATCTAGATACACATGCAGTACATGCAGAACAAAAGATAAATAAGGATATATAGAAACGGCCCATATAGATCCTTTAAAAAAAAAAGATCCAAAGTGACATCTTGATAACAATACTGTATATAGATAAAAATGTAAAATAGCAATCAAGTACACTGCAAAACAACCTCAGAGAGATTTGCATTCAACCGATACTGAATGGAGGAAGAGCCAAGTCTTAAGGGCTTTCATAAAGGCAAGTTGCATCCTATTGTGTGTGAAAGCAAGGGAATTAAATAAAAAATTAAATATGAATATAAATGTCAAGAGTAGTATTTTGGTCAGAAAAGTTATTTATCTCTACCTTTGTCAAGCGCAAGCAACCAGAACTACTTGTGGATAGGCCCAAACAGATATTTTATTGTTGATCACTTATATTCCTTCTAGAGTATCCTCATGGTGAGATGGGTGGTAAATTTAACGCCAGACTATCTACCTTCCCCTGGAAAATAGCAGATGTATACCTAAAGGTTTGATCTTGGATGTTTTCTCCTTCAGATTCTTAGCTGGAATATCTCTTTACTTCCCCTGGTTGGGGGGGCCTCCCCTTCAACCGGTGATTCCACCACAACATTACACTATATAAATTAATTCATGATATACACACAAACTGATAATATAGTAAAGATTACTAAAGACCCATTGAAACAAGAATGGCTTGCCTGACATCTGATTCTGATCTGCATGGCGGTTCTTTGTAGTCTTGCAGTCAACATGGTCCCATGGACAAATCATTTCTAATTAGCTATGATGGTGGCTGATGCTGAAAACAAAACTAACTCTGGGATGAAATATTTTAGGAATGCTATCCTCTTCTTTACAAAGAGGTTACATTAGAGTAACATTTGTTTCTGGGCTGCAAATGTACTGTATTTTTCTGTCTATAACGGGTAGGCAACCTCGGCTCTTTTATGACTCATGGACTTCAACTCCCAGAATTCCTGAGTCAGCATAGCTGACTCAGGAATTCTGGGAGTTGAAGTCCATGAGTCATAAAAGAGCCGAGGTTGCCTATCCCTGGTCTATAAGATGCACCCTTGTATAAGATGGCCCCCTATTTTCTAAACAAAAATTCAGAAATCAACATTTTAAATATTAAACAAACCACATCTTTAGTGGCAGTAAAATAAGTGGCCATGCCATCACACAAGGGAGGCGACTTCCTCCAATCAGATGGCACTCTGCAGGCTTAGTCCCACCTGCCCCCTGGGCCGTCAATCACTGTACTGAGGCGGCTTCCAGGGACCTCTTGTGGCTTCAGCCCGAGCTGTGCCAGTGAAAAATGGGTCATAGAAGGCAGCTTCAGTGGGACCAGCAGCATCCTTGGGGCAGTGCGGTCCTCCAGCACCAGGCGGCATCTCGGGCTGGCTTTCTCCCCTCCAGGTGGCATCTTGGGCCAGCAATATCCTCCTGCACCAGGTGGCATGGCAGCGGCATGTAAAGAACCCACACAGACATGCCCTGGGCTGCGGAGGTTACCATTATTTTTTCGTGTATAAGACGCTGCACTTGTGTAAGACACACCTGATTTTTGAACAGGATGTTTGCAGGAAAAAATAGCGTCTTATACACGGAAAAATACGGTACATTTTTTTATCAGTTTTAGTATGTCAGCCTAATAGGCGCTTTGTGGTTCTGTTCATGAATTTTGTATTGAAACAAAAATTTTATATGGTCTTTAAATATGGAACAGCATATTTTTCTAATGTTCTTTTATAGGAAAAATACAGACAATTATAATTCATCTGTTTAATAAGTTCAGGCATTTGAAAATAAAGACTATCAGAATACTTTTCATTTAATTATTTGCAACACAAGGAAAGATACTTCTTTCAAAATTCAGTTTTTGCTAGATATTAGAATATATCTAGGTTATGGCAAAAATGACTCAATTCTCCAAGGGATTTTGTCTAATATATGAGATAATGGCTAGACATGGGCTTTAGAAAGCACAGCTAGATTTCTATCCTAGGGGGATAAAAAACACAATTTTTCAAGGTCTTGTAGGGTTGGACTCGATGACCTCCAAGGTCCCTTCCAACTTTATTATTATTATTATTATTACTGTTGAACAGGGCTTCACTGAGTCTTACATGTGGAAAAAATATACAGTCAAAACTATGACTTTATAAGACTGCATTTCTATGTTTGGAAGTATGTCTTCTTGAATTAAACTGAGCTTAAATATGAACATATACATAGAAGAGAAATAGTTCATATGGTGCCATTCAGATGAGGATGAGGATTTAGATTTAGATGTGACCAACTCCAATGACTGCACGTGGCACATAATTAAAAAACAAAAAAACAAGATAAAATCTTATGCATCTGATTAATTAAATTCTATACAACTTTTAACTTAATTTTTTATCTTGGTTTTAATTGCCTCCTGCCGGAATGCAATATTTGTATGGTTTTTATGTTTTAATT